AAATATGGAGTATTATTTACCTAGCTATTTAAACCTGACAACAGGGTACCCCTCCCTGGAATCTAGACTGGTTCACATTTTTCTAGAGACTGTAAAAATATTTAACACAGTCAGAACTTTTCTAGTAGTCTTCTAACCTCTGTCTGTCTCTATTCTTTCCTCATTCCAGTCTGTCCTTCCAGACTAATCCTCCTGAATTTACTGTCATGTTCTTTCCCTGATTGCCACATTCAGTACTTCACCACAGATTTTAGGAGAAAGTTAAACCAGACTGAATCTTTAGTAATTATCTAGTTCCCCTCTTTATTTTACAGACAAAGAATAGAAGGTCCAGAGAGATAACACGATGTGCCAAAGGCCAAAGTGACTTGTAAGGTCTTGTAGTAGACCTGTTCCTGCTAAACCTTGTTGCCTCCCATTTGACTCCCAAAGCCCAGCATTCAGGATTTGGCTTTCCTGGCATATTTCTTACATTTTATCTGTCTGTTCTTGCTAATACACCACTCTGTTGTATTTAATATTCAGACAAACTCAGACCTACTCACACCATGCCCAAGCACTTAGTAGTTCACATGAGTTATTTGGTCCTTATAAAAACCGTTATCTCAGTTCTACTATAATTCCCACTTTCATACATCTGGAAATGAAAGCTAAAATAGTTGAATTAACTTGCTCAAAACCTGAGTTAACAGGTGGCAGGGACAGGATCCAACCTAAAGCAGTCTATCTCTAGAAACTGTGCTGCCCCAATATCAAACTCAGTGCCTTTGAGGAACATTTACACTGCAGGCCAAAGACTCCCTCTACTCTATAAAATGTTCCACAGTGATCAATATGCATCAGAGCCACTGAATTTTTCACAAGGTTATTTGTGTTTTCTGAATGCTATTCAACATATTATAAGTGCTTAGAAATTTATATAATAGTTCTTGAAGTGACTGTAACTACCCACAACTTGACTTTTTAAGTTCTCTTCAAAATAAAATTGGAAAGAAACCAATGAAAGCCAGGAAGGTGGTAAAGTGGAGACTGCTCTGAAGCTTGGTTTACAGAGCACCGGCACAAAGCCAGGGTTTGCTTCCTACCTCCAATAGCTATCCTGATGCCTGTGACCTTGGAGATGCCAGCTAACCTCTCTGAGCCTCCTTCCCTGTCCTCATTTATAAATGGACTTAATAAAATATGTCTCAGGGGATTGTGGTAGAGACTATATTTGAAAAATTATAAACTGAAAAACAGTTTTCAAAAATACTATCATTTTTAGTCTCACTAGAAATCAGTAAGTCAGCTCAATGTAGAAATCCATCCTCCAGTTGATACGAGGGGAAATTTCAGTGTCCTGGTCAGAGAACTTCTTGTAAACTTTATTTGATTTCTTTGACCAATTTAAATTACCTATAATATGATGTTGGGCGGAATGTCCCTTACATTTTCTTTCCTCTTTAGATACCTACTTTGATCTTATGTTTTATAAATACTAATTAAACTGATTCTATATTTATATTTTTTAAATAATTTAAATTATGCTTAAGAATAGTCTAAATTGTTAAGCAGCTTGTGTTCACAATACCTGCCATTTCTTGCTGCATTTTTCCTTGTGGAATGGCTTTAATTTTTACATAGTTGGTTCATAATGAGATATTTTGTGACTGCTCAGGTTCATATTCCATCTTTTACTCCTACAAAGGTGTCCACTGTGTCTTTTCCACCAGGACTTATGTAAAATGGCTAAGTCTTTTTTGCTTTTCAAAGATGAGATAAAGATTCAGAAGATATAAAGAATTATGGGAGCATGGTGGGATGATTGAGAGGAAGAAAGTTAAGCTTGAAGAACAAGTGAGTTAACCCCTACAATAAGTGAAAAACAACACCTTCTGTAGCAGCCCAGATGTGTTTCCAATAGGCAGTGAGGGTTCTGTCTTATTGGGAATGACATAAAGAGGAGTAACAGTGGAGACTTGCAAGGAGAAAGTACCCAGGACAAATGTCCAGAAAGTATATGAAAATGTGAACCACAGCCACAAGGCAGAAGAGGCTTTCCTGTCACAGGAACTAGAATTCTAGTCCAGAGTTAACATGTGGTGGCCATGTGACCTTATACAAGTTACTTAACCTCTTTGAGCCTCAGATTCATCACCTGTTAAATAGAGATGCTGTGTCAGAGGGATCTGAGGATTGGATGTGACAAACATCTTATGCCCTCCATAAGCACAGTGCCTAGCACAAAAAAGATTTTGAATATTAGCTGCTTTTACTCATCAAGTGAATTGAAGAAGGAGCAGCCAGATAAGATGTGTCAGCTCAAGTCTGAGATGAGAGTGAAGTGGTACCACTGGAAGGAGGATGGTGGGTGTACAGGGTGACAAGTTACTACCTTGGGTCCCCTCTGACTATGCAACCTTTGCCTGAAGTCTTTTCTTACTAAGTTGTCCTCAGATTCTAAAAGCTATTGGCAAGACTAAGAAGCAATATATGACTTTGTTATGGAATGCTTGAAAGAGATGATCTAGTCTTACAAACATGCATATGATCTCAGCCTTCCATAGGAAAAAATGAAGTTTTTAGGGAAAAAAAATGAAGAGGTTATTTGCTTTGAAATCATTTGTCTTCTCAGTAAATACATCTTAATGGATGAAATATTCATGATGTGACACAGTAATGTGACTATTAAGTGATTATTTGATAATAACTATATCTCCATGTTATAAATGAGAGAAACCAAGGAACAAAGAGTTTAGATTGGTTGCAAATTCTGTGATTCCAAATATGTTACTTATTCACTTAGGCCAAAATGACTTGTGATATGTTCAACATTTCTTAAAAAGCTTTTAAAAGAAGGTAGGCAAATATTTGAGGCATCTCAAGTGTCCATTCCAAGGTAAGTGGATTAAGTTATATCAAAAACTCAATCATTCTAAATTAAGTTACTTTGATCTTATGTTTTATAAATACTAATTAAACTGATTCTATATTTATATTTTTTTAAATAATTTAAATTATGCTTAAGAATAGTCTAAATTGTTAAGCAGCTTGTGTTCACAATACCTGCCATTTCTTGCTGCATTTTTCCTTGTGGAATGGCTTTAATTTTTACATAGTTGGTTCATAATGAGATATTTTGTGACTGCTCAGGTTCATATTCCATCTTTTACTCCTACAAAGGTGTCCACTGTGTCTTTTCCACCAGGACTTATGTAAAATGGCTAAGTCTTTTTTGCTTTTCAAAGATGAGATAAAGATTCAGAAGATATAAAGAATTATGGGAGCATGGTGGGATGATTGAGAGGAAGAAAGTTAAGCTTGAAGAACAAGTGAGTTAAGCCCTACAATAAGTGAAAAACAACACCTTCTGTAGCAGCCCAGATGTGTTTCCAATAGGCAGTGAGGGTTCTGTCTTATTGGGAATGACATAAAGAGGAGTAACAGTGGAGACTTGCAAGGAGAAAGTACCCAGGACAAATGTCCAGAAAGTATATGAAAATGTGAACCACAGCCACAAGGCAGAAGAGGCTTTCCTGTCACAGGAACTAGAATTCTAGTCCAGAGTTAACATGTGGTGGCCATGTGACCTTATACAAGTTACTTAACCTCTTTGAGCCTCAGATTCATCACCTGTTAAATAGAGATGCTGTGTCAGAGGGATCTGAGGATTGGATGTGACAAACATCTTATGCCCTCCATAAGCACAGTGCCTAGCACACAGAAAAGATTTGATGAATATTAGCTGCTTTTACTCATCAAGTGAATTGAAGAAGGAGCAGCCAGATAAGATGTGTCAGCTCAAGTCTGAGATGAGAGTGAAGTGGTACCACTGGAAGGAGGATGGTGGGTGTACAGGGTGACAAGTTACTACCTTGGGTCCCCTCTGACTATGCAACCTTTGCCTGAAGTCTTTTCTTACTAAGTTGTCCTCAGATTCTAAAAGCTATTGGCAAGACTAAGAAGCAATATATGACTTGTGTTATGGAATGCTTGAAAGAGATGATCTAGTCTTACAAACATGCATATGATCTCAGCCTTCCATAGGAAAAAATGAAGTTTTTAGGGAAAAAAAATGAAGAGGTTATTTGCTTTGAAATCATTTGTCTCTCAGTAAATACATCTTAATGGATGAAATATTCATGATGTGACACAGTAATGTGACTATTAAGTGATTATTTGATAATAACTATATCTCCATGTTATAAATGAGAGAAACCAAGGAACAAAGAGTTTAGATTGGTTCCAAATTCTGTGATTCCAAATATGTTACTTATTCACTTAGGCCAAAATGACTTGTGAGTATGTTCAACATTTCTTAAAAAGCTTTTAAAAGAAGGTAGGCAAATATTTGAGGCATCTCAAGTGTCCATTCCAAGGTAAGTGGATTAAGTTATATCAAAAAACTCAATCATTCTAAATTAAGTTACAAAGCATTTGCATCTTATAAATAGCTTTGTTCTTTTGAAGTTTCACTGACTTTTCTTAGGATCTACATAGATTAGTAGTTCTCCATCTTGCTCTTGTGTCAGGAGCATTGGAGGCTGTGCTAAGTAAGATTCAAGAATGCACCTTTCTAGCAGGTTCCCTGTTCATGCTGATATGTCACTTTGAGGTATGTACTTTGAGAATCACTGACAAGAAAAGCATACATTATTACAAATTCTATGCAGAAGCAAGTTGGAAAATAGTCCCAGAGGGGAATTCCAAGACTACAGATGGAGGTTGAAATTCATGTCATGTTTCCAAACCTGAGTATGTTATACTTAGCCAACCATAATTGAATTTGGCATTCAAAAGTTTTGTATTATTGAGCTGGGGGCATGGCTCAAATAAAATTCATGCCTGGCAAGTGCAAGGCACTGAGTTCAAACACTAATATCTCCAAAAGTGTTTTGTGTTATCATTTACTTTGCTTTTAGGAGGTTCCCTTTGACTACAAAGGGAAATAGAGGATAAATTATTATAGTTGATGTGTATGAATTTTCTCAAGGAGTTCTTTTTTGTTGTTGTTTCTGTAGGTGGCAAATCTTCCAAAAGACTATATGATAACCCTCAACTATGTCACCGGGATGGATGTTTTGGTATGTAAACCGAACATTTCTGAGTTTCATTTTAGTAGCTGATAGAAGAGATGGGGCCAGTCATACCAAGATAGGAAATTATCTGCACTTTAGGATTTTGCCAGTTGTCAAGGTTTAAAGAAGATATTTTTGGAATTTGATTTGCAAAGTCTTTTTTTTCTTTCCTTCTCCTCAAGCAAATTAATCAATGAGCATGTTAGTACATATGTCTTAGACCTGTACTCCCAAAGGAAATGAAGTCATCATCCTTACACCTAGCTGTGGATTTCTTTTTTCCCTGAGCATCTCTCAAAAAGGCTTGAGTATAAGATTTTATTGTTTTTACCTGAAAAGTTCTCATATAAGTTTCCCTTCTTTCCTATTTAAGGACACAAACATTATATTTCTGAACTTACTAGTGGTGCAATAGATTCTTTGAACTTGATAATGTACACATGTGGTTATGGTTATAAACACTATTCTACTACTAAAACTGAGAAATTTTAATTATTTTTGTCATTACATATTGTCAAAGTTCATACATTAATATTTCAATCTTAAAGAATACCGTATGTGTACACCCAGCACAGTTTAATCAAACCTTACCATTGTAATATTTGCTTCAAATATATTCACTAACAATGAAACATTATAACTAAAGCCTCACGTATGCTCCTTTCCTATCTCCATTACTCCCCACTTTGTTTCCTAGTGGCAACAATTATTCTGAGTTAGAAGTTTTCATTTCAGTGCCTGTTTTCAGGTGTTGGGCTGTGGACAGCATCCACTGGTGCTGTGCAGAACAAAAGGATGCACAGTAACCCTGCATGCTCTTATACTTTCACTGCAAAGAATGCATTCATGTATAAGATGTCAAGATTTCACATATTTATAAGTGTACTGTTAATGTTATTATACTATATACCAGGGTGCATCTTGCTTATATTTTCCAGCATGCTACATGTTGTTCCATGTTAATTTATTTTAACTGTTGTGTTCTTAGAGTACCTTTAAAATCACCTGGGTTGCTCTCTTTTTTGCAATTCTCATCTTTCCATAATTTATCAGGTATCTATTAAATATTGACTTTGTATAGGTTGTTTAAGGTTTTGGGTAATTTTTGTGGATTGGTTGATCAAAATTATTACCAATTTAAGCAATCACTATGTACTTTAAAAGGCCCTTCAAAGACTACAAAAGGTTTTCATTTCAATTTTGTTTCAAGAGACTGTTCATGGCTGTTTGTTTTACTTAGTCAGCATTTTAGCAAGAACTACCTAAAGTTCTTTAGAACTCTTTAGAACATGTATCTTCATATTAGTTATCCTCAAGCCTAGGTCAGTGTCTGTCCTACAGAGGTAGGCATAATGCTCTGGAAATAGAGATATAAAATTAAAGCAACCTGAAAGTAAATTAATCCAGTCATTTGATCACTGACTCAGGAAGTGTTAGGGATCCAACACTTTGCCAGGACACTTTAAGGCTATTTGCCTTACAAGTTTAAGTAATGTTCATAATAACTGGAGGGAAATTACCTGGTCTTTTTATAGCACTTTTCCATTTGCAAAATGTTTCATATATGTTTTTCACTTGGATGACTGGGAAAAGTCTGTGAATTGGTAGAATAGCTATTTTTGTTTCTGTTTAACAAATGACACACTGAGGTTTACAGCTTGGAAGTATTTTTCCCAAGATTATGAAACTAGAAAGTGACAGTCTTAAAAAGAAACCCCCAGGTCATCGGACTCTTTTAACCCTGGGATACAGAAAGTAGGGAATCTGAATAATTACACCGCCAAGGAAACTGTTGGGAAGAAAGCTTCTAGGTAATAAAGACTTACCCTGCTCCTGACCACAGCAGCCTTTAGTCTGGTGATTGCCAAACTTGCTCAAAGAAACCCAGCTGCTCTTTGCAAAACAAGTGTTAAACTGAAAATAACTAAATAGATTATTTGGTGCTGGTTTAATCATAAACGATGCTAGATCATAAACTTCAGCATTGGTTGGTGATAGCAAAGAACCAAACATAAAAATAAAGCCAACTTATTGCCACATATTTCATGTATGTTTCTGTAATTGAGAAAAATCCACTATTATTTGATCTTGGCATGCTATCCTGGAACCACTGGAGAAACATTGTTCTTGGCCACCACAGTTGGCAAGAAACAAGCCCACGTGTGGGCTTTGGGCAGAAATAGGGGTCTCACCCTTTGTTTTACCTTCATTTTAAAAGGTTAATTTCTGCCAAGACCAGAGGGGCTTCCCAGTGGAGAGGCCTGTGATTATTTGTCAGTGGTCAGAGTCGCAGCTGCCTTATCTTTTGTCTTTAAACAATGGAAGGTGGAGTGGGAATGAGCGCCAGGAAGATTCCCTAGGGCCAAAGCAATAAAATTCTGCCTCAGGCACTGGGCAGGAGAAAGCTCTAGAATAGAATACAGTTTATTTTTTTTTTTACTTTTGTTTTAACATCAGCTAAGTATTCCTGAAAAAGGGAGTCTACTTTCCTAAGGACCTTCTTTGAAAATGACCTAGCAAGTTCTCTGTCACAAATAGTAGGCTGTGATCTACCAGTTAGTGTTTAAATCCAAAGATAATCACCAATTCTATTTTAAAATCTTCAAAACTATAATATTGCCAACTGGTTGGGATTTCCTTCAACTTCATAATCTTAAAAATACCTGAAACGTTTCTGGTCCTTTTCACTTACTCGTAATGTTACTGTAGAAAGAATAGTTGCTGGATTGCATTCTAGTGTCTGTAACGTTACATGAACTATGAGTGACTTCTTTGAGCCAAACATTCTTGGTTTTTAATTCAAGTTTTCTTTGACTTTTTATTTGGAAATATTTAAAAATTTACAGAGAAGTTGCAAGAACCTTATGCACTCTTCAATCCAGGTTCACTTATTTTTAACACTTATTAATAAATAGCTTTCCTTCTCTGTGTGTATACGTATTTTATTAATTTTATGAGCCCCTTGAACAAGTTGTAAGCATCACAGCCATTTACCTCTAAATATTTTGGTGTGTATGTCTTAAGTAAAGAATAATTCTTTTACCTTACCATAGTACATTTACAACTCCAGTAAATTTAGCAAAAACGAAAATCCTTTAATCTATTGGCCAGCATAAGATCCAGTCCAGGATTCTGGTTTGCATTTTGATATTATGTAAATATTGGCTCCCCAAAGGTATCTTGTCCTGTGAATGTGTTAACATAGCCAAGTTGACTTGGAAGACGCAATTTAATTAAGAATTTTAAGATAGTAAGGCTATTCTGGATTATCTGGGTAGGCCCAATCTAATTTACATGAATAATAAAAGAGACGCAGGTATGTCAAAACTAGAGTGGGAGATTTAAAAATGTTATTCCTCTGACTTTAAAGATGGAAGAAGGGGCCACAAGGAGAAGCTAGAATGAGCAAAGCAAAGGGGATTCTTTCAGAGCCTCCAGAATAAACACAACCCCAGTGAACATCTTGAGTTTAGCTTAATAAAACCTATTTTGTACATCAGACCTCAATAACTGCAAAATAAAATTTGTGTTGTTTAAGTCACTAAGCTTGTGGTAATTTTTTATAGCAACAATAGGAAACTAATAGATCCTGTTTAGTCTCATTTAAGAGTTCATGCACTTTGGCTGGCAGAGTGGCTCAAGTGATAGGGCACCTGCCTAGCAAGTGTGAGGCCCCGCCTTCAAACTCCAGTGCCACAAAAAAAAAAGTTCCTAAGCTTTTCTTTGCCTTTAGTACTGTGTGTGTGTGTGTGTGTGTGTGTGTGTGTGCTGGCTAAGCATTCTGCCATGTGAGCCATGCCTCCACTCCATTGTTGCACTGGTTATTTTGGGTTCTTATATACTGTTTGCCTGGGCTGGCCTTGAACCGTGAGCTACCCAATCTCAGCCTCCCAAGCAGCTAGGATTACAGGCATGAGCCACCAGCACATAGTGTGGTATTGAAATTTTTGAATGAGATAGCCCTTCCCTTGGTACAGTGTTTCTCTGTCAGATAACTGATTGCTGTTTCTTAATGATTCTGTGGAGCTTATTCATTCCAAGCCATGATGCTATATACACAATGATGCCTGCTCAGGTTATGTCTAGAGGCAAACGGTTTCTGCCTTACTCTCAACAAAGCTGTTTGTTTCTATCACTTAGGCAAGGTGTTCAACAGATTTCTGTGTACTTAGTAACTAGCATCTAAGACCATGTACAACTTTGCTGTTCAGGGTTTGTAGGTTTTGCCCATAAGTTTAGCATCTGTGGGTGATTCCTACCCGAACCATCTTTACTGTTACATCTTTGTCAGTTTTTAAATTTTCTTTCTTTTTTTTTGGTGCTGAGGATCAAACCCAGGGTTTTGTTCATGCTAAGCACACTGAGCCAGCCCCCAGCCCCTCAGGTAATTTAAGGCACAGCTACATAGGGAGGTGATGACTACATATATTATTACTCTAGCAGTAAGCCTCCCAGCCACCTTTCCTTGGCTGTACCCTCCCTCAGCCATGCAGGATTTCGCTTCTGAGCTGTCTCTACTTTCCTTTCCCTGGCCCTGATGTCTCTGGACTCATATCTCCTTTGCTATTCTAGGATTTATTATTTGATGTCTTATTTAGTTGACAGAATGGCTTTAAAATAATGTTTTATCCCTCTTTTTTCACATTAACTGACTTCCCCTGGCTCTTCAGAAACAAGAAATGGTGCTCTTGCAATAAGGCCTCCACGACTGTCATGATCTGGCATTTTTCCAGGTTCTAAACCCCTCAGCCTCACATGTTCCTGTAGCCACCCTTCCTTCCTGCATGGCTTTCTCCAAACCTGGAGTTCTGATTGGTCCTTTGGTTTAGGTGACTTCTGACTCTTTCAGATATTAGTTTCCCTTTGTTAAGGAAGACTTCCCTCACCTCCTTAATGAAACGAATCTTCCTATTAGAAGCTCTTTTCAGAGCACTCCTCAGAGTAGCAGTTTATTTGTGGAATTATTAAAATGGATTATCTTCTACTAACCTGTAAATTTCACAGGG